AATATGTGTACTAAATAGTCTTCTGCCTCACAGGAACTCGATGACTTTAATATAATACTTATATATCTCAACTGTACAATTGTGGGTAGTATTAGTAGTACTAGCGGTGGGGGCTGGCCCCCCCACACCCCTTCCCAAATTTAATTTAATACTACACATGCCCCCGGACCATTATCAATCAAGTTACTGTCTCTATAGATATTCCTTTCCTGGATCTCATATACGGGAAATCATGAACATTTAAAAACATTTCTCCAATATGTGTACTAAATAGTCTTCTGCCTCACAGGAATTCTTAAAACAGGTTCAAATGAAGCTGTCCAGCCCTCATGGTTTATCAAAGCTTCACACACAAGTTTATATACACAGATAAAAAGCATTTTGTTAAAGTCTAGAAGAGAACTCTGGTATCTTAGGAGATCTAAAACAACTCCTCTGCTATAAAAGGACCTTATAAAAGTTGGTGTTGTTGTTCATGATTTTTCTTTTCATAAAGAGAAAATGTTCAGTTATAACAGTGATAAAGTGGGATGGATAATTTGTCCAGCATCAATCTATTAGATTTCAGGAAAATATTTGACTAGAAGGTCCCATTCCCACCTCACTGGCCTCTGAGCTTGCTTTCTGCTCTATGAAACTTTCGACGAAAAGAGCTCCTCCTCCCAGGTGTGAATATTTACAAAGTGAGGTCGTGTTTGTAAAGCACTTAGCAGACATGCCCACTGTAACTTACTGCCCACGTGTCTGTCCTGACTCATACCGATCCTATAAGACAGGGTAGAACTGACCCTGTGTATTTCCAAGTGGAAACTCTTTGTGGTAGTAGAAAACCCGTCTTTGTCCCACAAAATAGCTGGTGGTTTTGAACTACCGACCTTATGATTAGCAATCCAATACATAACCACTAAGCCCCTAGGGCCCATTGTCCTAGCCAATAAGTTCAAGTAATTGCACTTTAAAATTTTTGTGGTTTTGCTTATTGTATGCTGCTTGTTTGAAATCCTCCTCCCACACCCATTTCTCATGTTCAACTCCCTCTTCATGGCCCCTCCCACATACCACCTCATCCATGAAATATTCTTTCCCCCCCTCCCAGTTGGCATAATTCTCCCCATTTCCTAAAACCTCCCAGCCTTTTAGCAATATCCTAAAAGCATTTTATGTTCTGTGTCCTATTTTTGAGTTGCATATATTAATTCCTTTATTAGATTATGAACTCCTCGAAACTAGGACTTTGTATGACTTATTCTCCATGACCCCAGACCACAGGATGCTGCAACAAATAGCTTCTAAGAAAAGAAGAGTGAGTGGTGAATAATGTGCGTGAGTTTGAATTGCTGTAACTGCAATTGAAGCAGACACAGACTTGTGTTTCCCTCATAGCTGACAATGGTGGCTCGGGCTCCAGATGGAAGTCTTACTTTTCTGATCTGTATGGGAGTCAGCAAAGAGAATAACTTCATTCTCATGCACACTGCTGGAATTCAGGAACACAGACACAATCTCACAACCAATTTCCAGGTAATAGGGTCCAAGTTCCACTTCAGTCCCGTAACTCTCATTATACAAGACTGCCTTGAGCGTCCAAACACCTTCTGGAAAAAAGAGAAAAATGGCCATTTAGTAAAAATGTTAAAGAAGACACGACACTTGACATGTGACTACAGTAGGTGTAAGAAGGGCTATATGGGATACTCATATGGGAACTGATGTTTTTTAAATAGATCCTGTATTGTTAAAGGCATTTATTTTTCAAATCTTTTATAGTCTCATGATCAGCTTTATGAGCATCCAGCCTGCACATTTGCCCAGGGTCCCACACTCAGAGAGGGTCACATTTGGTTTAATATCTTGATATCACCACTCTGAGATTGTCATTCACTTTCAAAAGGGCTGCTGCATTTTCGTTTTTTGCTTAATCTGTATGGTAGGAAATCTTCACAAGGATGAAAATAAATGTTGGCCCTCCTATATCTAGGCAAAAAGATGACTAAAATAGACAACTAAATGTAATAAGAACAGTTATGGTAGATTACAGATGTGACTCCAAATTCTCCCTGCTTCTGTACCCTTATGACGATAAGGTGACTTGACAGGTTATCAAGTTAGTCTATTTCCGCACTTGTAGTCCCTGGATTTTTGCCATGAGAAGAAGCGGAGGCTATCCTTCTAAAGAGTGAGAATCACATGACCGCGTCACCCTCACCACCCATACGAATAGCCAGCAGAGACCCTTCGCTGGCAAGCAGCTGACCCAGGTATATAAATAATTAAGTCAATCTGAGACCAGCACAGACCAGAAGAGCCCCTAGCAGAACTGTAAGCTAAATAAACGTTTATGCATTAAGCCAGTAAATTTTGAGGTTGGTTTGTTATGCAGCAAAATTGATATAATTCCACTGCATTGAAGAAATCTTTTGCTATTCTATAACCTTAATCTGTTAAAACAATATTTTAAAATTGTACATTTGACTAGGTCATTCCTTAACTTTAAAACACCACAGGATTCCTGAAGTATCACAGGATGAAATCCTGACCCAAGCCTTTTCCCCTTAGCTGATCTGTTCCCACTCAACCCTTCTTGCATGTGCCATCTCCATCTCTCAGTCCTCTATCCTCGATAACAATACCACGTCTTTGCAAATCTTTCCTCTTGTCTCTACACGGCCAATTCTTACCTACCCAGAACCTCTTTCAATGATCTAGGCAGAATTGGTGGCTGTATTTAGCTTTTGGCCCGTAAAACTCAGGTTGTGTTTCTCTTTTGGGGAATAACACACTGTGTGTCTTCCTTTTCATGAGACACCAGTACAGATTACATAATAGACAGATGATGAATGATTCTCAAATGAACAATAGAATTTTGCACACTGAAAAATTGAAGCTCATAGGGATTAAAAAATTCATTTGGGGTAATTAAGAAAACTTTTCGCATTTTGCTTTCTGCATCCAAATTATATTGAATAAAGACATGGGATTAGAGACAATTGCAAACAGTAGTAAAATAAGAAATAGAAATGAGAAAATTAGTTTTAACAGTAAAAGCCTATTTATGTGGAAGAGTAACATGTAGTGATGCAGGAAGATTTAGGAGTGCTGTGATGAGCGCAGACCATATTAAGCATAGTCAAGAAACTTACAGAAACTTGGCAGCAACAGCTTAAATGCTGAGACCTCGCGTACAGAGACTGACTTCTCTGTCTCATAACACCCCTCGTGTCTGTGTCTGAACAAATTTGCACTTGAATTTCAAAAAGCGGAAGGTGAAATGGATGCTCAAGCAGAGCTCCACATCACTCTGACCAGGATTTAATCACGAGCTGTATGCTGTGCAAACGCATGTGCAAACGTGCTTGACACGATGGATGAATGTATGGATTGTGATCAGAGCTGTAAGAGCCCCCAAGAAATTGATTTAAATAAACAAATACTTTTCTCCTACTTTAATCTAAACGGAAGATTTCTCCAAACTCAAACTCGCCGCTTTCCAGTCAATTCCAACTCCGAGTGAGCCTGTTGGACAGAACAGGGCTGCCCCTGGGGAGTTTCTGAGACGGTAACTTTGGGGGGAGTAGAAAGCCTCATCTTTCTCCGGTGGAGTGGCTGACAGCGTTGTGTTTAGCAGCTCAACACATAATGTACTCTGCCACCAAATATTAAATAAGGTGGTTTATTGTGATAATTTGGACGCAGATGCATTTGGTATTGGGACTCTGCCTCCTGGCATGTGATAAATTCTTATACATCTTTATTTCACAAGCTACCTTTAGACTTACTCCCTATTGGGAAGATGTTACACCAATTCCTTATATCATTCTTAAAGCAGCAAAGAAATCAGTTTACAAATATTAAAGTTAGAGATGCCTTAAATTAATAGAGTACATTCTAATGTAAACATGGAGATATAGTCAGCATTCCACTGAAGCTTTTGGAACTAATTGCAAAGCCACAAGGCAAACAGCAGTTAAAAATATAAACTTCCTCCTTTGTTCATTTGATAAAACATGGTACCGTTAGCAAGAGGGGAATCCGTGAATGTAAAATATGTATTTCCCCCACAAGAGGATTTTTGAGAGGGAGGGGATGAATTTGAAGTTGAAGAATCATACAGACAAGTTATATAAATTATATTTGAGAAGTACCTGCTTCTGTGGCACTAGAAGATAAAAGAGTGCATTGCAGAGGAAAATCCAACTACCTACCTGTATTAGCTAAAGATATTAACTAAAGATATGAAGATAGTCAACACTGAAATATACACTGGTAATGTTTCTAGACTTTAAGAATAAATACTTTTTTTTGACAATCATACAAAAGTACCAAGTCACCTTTAAAGGGAATAAAAAAGAGGTCAGCCTGAGAATCACTACACTTATAAGAACGTATATGAGGGAGTTTGAAATATTTGTGGAAAAAGAATTAAAATAGAATTTCCCCACAAACATTTTAAGCCCCCTCATATATAACTCTCTAGAGGGCTGGTTAAAACACAAGCTGCTGGGCTCCATGCCCAGCGTTTCTACATCAGGTGGGGTCTGAGAATTAGCTTTTCAAATGAATCACAGATGATGTTGGTGCTGTTGGTCCAAACATGCTGTTTTAGGATCCCTGATAAGGATCCCTGGTGGAACTGTGGGTGGGTGAGTTGTTCAAACCCACCAGCTTCTCCCTGGGAAAAAGATACGTCAGGCTGCACCCTGAAAGATTTACAGGGTCAGAACCCTATGGAGCCATTCTACTCTGACCAAGAGTCACACTTGACGGCAGTGGGTTTTAAATGTGTGAATGCTTAGGCACTTGGCTGCTAAGCCAAGGGTTGGCCATTGAAACCCACCAGCTGCGTTCCAGGAGAAAGCAGTGGTAGTTTGCCTCCGTCCAGTTTGCAGCCTCGGAAACCCTGTGAGGCAGTTCCACTCTGTCCTACAAGGCTCCGTGAGTCAGAATGTGCTTGGCAGTGGAGGGCCGCTTATGTGTGTGAGTAGAGTGGGAAAAGTCCACAAAGGGGGAGGAATGTGACCAAGGCCTTAAGAATCAGTAAATTGTCATCCAAATATAACAGTTTTGACATGCAGGAACTCAGGAGATATGATTTTCATGTGTCTTCCTAAAAAAAAAATCTACTTGAGAATAAATTTCAGCATATCAGATGGGAAAACTATGACAAAGAACTTCAGGTGAGGACGGAATATATTTCAGTTTAGAAAAAGAACTAAAACTAATATAGGAAAACACGTCACAGAAAAAAAATGTGAATATTATATATCCTGACAATGTAAAATTCATAAAAAATAACATGTTGGGAGAAAAGGAGATAAAAAGGTGGGAAGTAGCGAGATAATGCAGATTACCTCCTATGTAACTGCTAGACATCAAATGATAACACGTGGGGTTTGGGAGACACTAAGGTCAATTGGCCTAACATCGTTCGCGAAGACAATGTTCTCTATCTGACTTTTGGTGAGTAGCAATGGGGGTCTTAGAAGTGGATTAGCAGCCATCAAAAGTGGAACTATTGTTCTCTCCCCATCCAAAGCAAAGAAAAGTGAAGGAAACTGAAGATACATGTAGACAATTAATTCAATGGATTAATGGACCACCACCCAAATATCAGCCTCCACTACCCTGAAACCAGAAACAATTAATGTGGCACCCAGCCACCACTACCAACTGCTCTGAAAGGTCCTTGGTAGTGTGAAAGAAAAATGTGGCACAAAACTCAAAATCATAAAAAAGACCCAACACACTTGTCAAATAAAAATGGGTGGAGCCCCTAAGCATATGGCTGTCAGTCCCCATTCAGGTATGGAAATGAATTCACCTCGATGTTTAGATAAATTATGGACAGGTCTATAAAGGGGGGAAGCAAACACAGTTTTGAATAACAACCATTTGATAGCAGAGGGTAGTGTTTGCCCAGGGATAAAGTTCGGATGATGGGAAGGTTTAGCAAAGAAGGGAGAATGGAAAGGAGAAGCACAGGAAAGAAGTGGGACGAGGCATAGCACATAGTAAGAATTACAATCAATGACAGGAAACAAGATGTGTATAGACTATTGAATGGAAACCGATTTCTTCTATGACCCTCATCCAATTCACAATAATTAAAAAAATAGTATTATGCAAACTTAAAAGAACAATGAACAAGCATATTTAGAGTTCCCTGGTGGTACAAGTGTGGCTACTAACTGAAAAATTGGATGTTCAAGACCACTCAGAAATGTCTTGGAGGAGAGGCCTGGTCTAAATCCAATAAAAAAGGACACCATTGCAAAGCCTGGAGCCCAGTGTTACCCTGACACAAGGGCTGGCCATGAAATCAGAATGGACTCCATGAAAACTGATCGAGACGCACACTTCAGCACACAACGGGGAATACGAAAGCCAATAATTCAATTACTAAAATGGGGTACTAAAGACGAGGAAGGGAATAGACTAACTTCATTCTTGTTTGGAGAGAGTGATGAATCATAAAGAACCTTTACTAGAGTCCTACATAAAATGGATGAGCAAATCAAGACTGCGGTTCTTGCAGTTATTAGAACACCAGCCCAGACAAACCTGCACAAGGAAAACAGAGTTACTCAATAAAAGATGCCTTAACATTTACAAAGATCACATAATTGAAAAATATGACAGAACTTGGGCCAAGCATCTGTCATTTTCAGTAAATAGAAATGGACTAAACATCTATTTAAAGCAGTGTTTTCTAAAGAGAACGATAACATTCTTGGGGGTGCTGGCATGATCAAAAAGCAGATACCTATACTTTATCTTTGATCAGGGGCTATCATGTAAAAGTCTTTAAATGCCAGGGAGGCAATAGTGATCTTCTTTTTATTTCCCTTTTCTGAAAAAAAGGGCAGTAGGCCAAGTAGTTTGGGGACCTATGATTTAAAATAAAGATGATCAGATGGATCACAAAGCAAAGTGTAAGACAACTGCCTAAAACCGTGTCACTAGTTGAAAAATGAGTGACTGAAATCAGCAAGGTTCCTAATTTCTGAGAAAGCATATGCAAATGACATAAATCCAATATAAAAACTGGAAGTAATAATAAATACAAGATTATTTACTGTAATATTATTTGTAATATTGGCAGATTAGAAACTGTTTGATTTAATGGTATATTATACAACATGGTATCAGGAGGAACCAGTTCCTAGAGAGGGTCTCATACTTTGTAAAGTAGAGGATCCATGGGAAAAACACAAAGAAGAAGACTCTTAACACATAACAGCTTCAACAGAACTGAAACGCAACCAAAATTGTGATGCTGGTGCAGGTCCCCGGCAGCGTTTCCTTCTGTTGCACAAGGTCACTGTGAGTTGGAACCTACCAGATGTCATCCAAGACATAACAACAAGGAAACATACAAAGAACAGCGGTGCTCTTTTAGCATCCATGTGGGACTATCTATAAATATGGATACGTAATTGAGCAGAACACTGTATTCCACGCTATCATTTGTGTCAAAGAAGGAAACGTATGTTCATATTTGCTTAAATGGATGAAGGATGGAAGAAATAAAGCAATCGTTGCTTCTGGGCAAGGGACCTGGAAAGTTCGTGGGAGGAAGATCTTTGAGTGTACATCTTTCTACATTAGGAAGGGCTGAGCCCTTTTCAGACATTCATTTAAAAAGGAAAAAGAAAGAAGTTAACTCCTGCTTGCAATCAAATCCTGTCCACTCGTTCTGTCTCCGTCCTCCTGAGGGATTTGGTGTTGTGTAAGCACGAGGCTCTGAAGAGCAGCACTTTGCCAGAAAGATGTTTTTGTTTCTGTGTTTCCTCCTCCCTTTGGTCTAAAGGCAAAAGGTAGAACATTTTAGCTACAGATGGATAGATAGATGGTGGGTCGGGGGTGGGTGGATGGATGGATGCATGGAAGGAAAGATAGCTCATTTAAATATTTGTTTTTGTGTTTACTTACTTGCAGGGCAAATCAAGGAAGTTCCAACAGTAATTTTGCTTCAGAAATTTTATCTTTATAAGAAGTAACTCCATTACTAAGTAATGGCTTAGCCTCTCCGTTTCCTCCTCTTCCTCCCCAAAATGGACACGAACAGACCTACGTCTTACTCACAATACAAGAATTACATGACATAAAGTGTACACAGAACAGACCACCACACAGAACACACAAGTGCTCGCTGTATGTTCCTGAGCTACTGTTGTTACAGCAAGAATGTTAAGAGGAGTCTAGAAAAAGGATTTCCTTTTTGTCTCAATAGTTTGCCTCTTCCTTCCCAAGCACTGCTTGCTTATCCATCCCAGCTCTGGTGTTTCCTTCCACGTTACTGATAATGAAGGTGTGTGCCATACCTTCCCTGTACTGGTGACAGGCTGTGGCTGAGATTTCTCCGGACACATTTTGGATCCTCATTTGGACTCCTGAATCGTCCCCAAAATCTATCCCCAGGAAAACAGACCCTTCCGAAGCCATTTGAACTCGCAATCCCAGAACTGGAGTTGTCCAGGTGTCTGTTGCTGGGAAACACTGGGTGACAGGAGTCACCACAACAGTGGGACCTCCAGTAGGGATGGCCTCAGTAGGGTGTGTAGTGAGAAAGTAAGCGTTCCTAAACCCAGGCTGGGTCGCTGAGAGGCCTGGAGCGTGGTAAGCACATGGAGGACTTTCTCCGGTGCTGTGGAAGAAAGAGAAAAGACGTCAGACAATCACAAGATCACCAGCAGAATCAAACCACATCCTCCCCACTCCCTACCCCATGAGATCAGCAGGAGGAAGGAAACTTATCAGGAGACAGCTGGGAGTGGGGTGGGGCGTGAAGTCTGTGTGATCTTTTTCAAATTATTTTCACGAATGATTCTCTATACAACCTCAGGGTGGGCGGCAGCACCTGGGTGCATGTTATATCCACAGATTCTCAAGGCCCATCCAGTTGGGCCGGAGCCCTGGGCGCACAGTGATTATGCATTGAGCTAACTGCCAAGTCAGCAGTTTGGAAACACCGGCCTCTCTGAAGGAGAAAGACTGTCCTTTCTACTCCCATCAAGAGTCACAATTTTGTAAACTCACAGCTGGCGGTTCTGCCCTGCCCTACAGGAACCTACGAGTTGACATCAACTTGACAATGCATTTGGGTTTTGGTTGATCCAGACCTGCTCACTCACCGAGCCCCCAGGAGAGAGGGAGATAAGTGAAAATGTTAAAATCCTTCTTCTAGCTACACCAGTGAATGGATGATGTGAAAGCTTGGATCTCCCCAAAGTCACTACCTCATGTATTTTGATAAAATGTTCTGCATGAAGGAGTACGTGCCATCTTTTGTATGTATAATTCTCGATGCGGTGAATAAGTAGTCCAGGCTGACATGATCATCATTGACCCTGAGAAAGCTATTTCAGGATGATCTATAAGGTGCTAGTACAGTTAACTCTTGACATGAATAAAACTAGCATAAACTAGGATAAAAAGCAGAGAAAGACTCTCATGACAACGAAAAGGGTTTCAGTATGTCATGAGTCATTCACCTGCTCCCTCTTCTCAAAATGTGTTGTACCGGCCACACTAAAAATAGGATCACACACGTCTTCAGTCTGGATAGCTGCTTAATTTGAAGCAAAAAGAAACTAGAAAAGCCAATAGCTCACACGGCCAAAGTCTTGTACATTGAGGCTACCACCATCATCTGAATTACACCAGGGCTTCTGAATTACAAGCAAGAAGGATTAATGGCCTTTATTCTGCCTCTACCTTACCTTCTGAGGAAGGCAAGGAAGTATGAAGTTGGCCACAGGAGCAAGGCTGGGTGCTTGGTGCTGTCCTGAACAGGTCCCACTGCCTCAATGCAGGCCCCAGCCTTAACAGTGGTCAGTTGCAGACAGGCCCCAGGAGCGAGTTTCTTGACCACATTCTCTGTAGGGCACAATAGTTTGATGATGCAACCAGAATTCTCCATTTTCAAGCTGTAGAGTACCACTGCGGAATAGTTGCACTGAAATAGAAAAAGAAGTTAATAACAGCTGAGAGCTTGTCCCGCGGCCTACTTTCTTGCATAAGTACTTGGTGTCAAAAAGCAAACTCACAGGGGATCTGCATGAGGCTGCAGTCTCAGGAACATTCTGTAAATTATGCAAAATCCCCCCCTTCCTCATTCAGTGAGATGCCATGGGGAATAAGGTAACTTTTAGGTGCCTGCTACTCTCAAGAGAGGGCCACAGTGCAGCCAGCTGGAACCAAGGTGGGTGGCTTATCAGGACCTTCTGGAATCATTATGATGAGAAGTTCATGCTGTTCCGTTGGCTGCCATGGGAATTTGCTGTGTTGTCTGGCCAGCTAGACGGCAAAGTTAACAGTCTAGGGATGGCGCTTTTGAAGACGTTTCACATGTGTGTTCCTTTATTGCAGGCACGCATGCCAGTTATATTCTTGTCTGCCTGAGCAGCGCCAGAGGATAGGAAAACACCCTCTTGTTCCCTACAAGATTCCAAGGGCTGTTTGCCCACAGATGATTCTCTCAAAAACTCAGAAGCCGCTTCCTGTTGAGATTGAATTGCACAATCCAGATACCAACCTTGAGCAGAGTAAAGAACGTAACATCTGCTTCCCCGGTTGTACAGTTTGGTGCGTCCGTAGGGCTGGGACTCTCGGGATTCCATATACCTCCAATGGCAAAAGAACGTGAAGGGGAGGTTCTAAACACAAACGAAAATAGAAAAGAGAAGAAAACCACGTATTTATATCAAGAATTTGGTGCATTAGATTATTAATCATGGAGTCCCTCCAAACTAAACCAAATTCACTGCCGTTGAGCAAGTGTGACTCACAGCGACCCTATAGAACAGGGTAGAATGGCCTCGTGGGTTCCCAAGACTGTAAATCTTAAGGGGAGTAGAAAGCCTCATCTTTCTCCCACAGAGCGACTGGTGGTTTCAAACGGCTGACCTTGCGGTTAGTAGTCCAATACATAACCCACTATGCCACCAGGGGTCCACCGCCAAGTGTGTTAATAATTTGCACCGTGAAATCCCTAAATGGTGCAAGTTATTAGCATATTTGAATGATAACCAAAAGGTTGAAGGTCTGAGTCCACCCAGAATTGCCTTGGAAGAAAGGCTTGGTGATCTACTCTGAAAAAACCGACCACCACATGAACCAGAGACAGCGGTTGAACTATAATCACAGACCTAAAAAGATGCGACCGAGGAGCTCACTCCCTACCCGAGTCTTACTCTGCTCAACCTTAAGAGCTTCTTTTGTTCTTAGGAAAGAAGGTCATTCCTTTCTACCCAGAGAGCCTGGCCAAAAGGTTTTTTTTGCGACAACCTTAATTGGTACCAATGAGGATCAAGCAATGAGGATCAGCAAGTGAACCAGAAGCAGAAGATATAAAACAGAGGCACGTTAGCATAAGACAGAAGTCCCAGACCTGTTCTTACATACTTTTTCTCCTAGATTTACTTATAGGCCATAGATGAGAAATTGGTGGTATATTGTTTTTGTTATTGTTAGCTGCCATAAAGACAGTCCCTGAAAAAAAAAAAAAAGACAGTCCCTAATTCATGGGGACTCTATGCACAATAGAATAAAATGCTGCCAGATACTACATCATCTCCATGGTGCCTTGCAGACAGGGCCACTATGATCGAAGAAGTTGTTTGTTTATTTGTTTTCATTTGTGGAGGGGCAGGTTTGTGCTGACTTTTGGAAGTAAATCACCAGGTCTTTCTACTTAGCCCCAAAGCTCTGCTGAAACCTGCTCAGCATTACAGCAACGTGAAAGCCACTGTCCATGTACATGAAGTTCACTGGCCAGAAGTCGTACACAGATCTCCTACATGGAAGGCAAGAATGCTACAATTCAACCACCACTACCCCTCAATAGAAGATTTATCCTTAATTAAAGTGTATTGATTAAAATTAAATTCTTAAGTCAATTCTCAAAAATAAAGTTTGAAATTCTTCATCAACTTACTTTTTGTTGGGAAAAATTGTTCAGATGCAGCTGCAAAGAATGAGTTCTCCCAATAGTCCAGTAAGACCCTCACATTGAGATGACCCGCCTAGAAGTGCATGCTGTGCAGAAGACAGACAATATCCCGAGCCATAAAGATAGATTGCTCCTCTAAAAGGAAGACATACCATTCGCAAAATAGATTTGTTAAATGGCAAAACATAGCCTGGGGGGCCATATGACTCATGGACTAAGTTACAAACCAGTTGGCAGGATGCATTCTCCCCAGTATGGGCAGAAGCAAAAGCACAGAGATTGATCTAGGCAAGGTGACAGTCAGATATAATGGAGTATGGGTTTCCCATGCAAAATATCTCCCATTGATTTTTTTAACGGTATATAAAGCTCTGATTAGTGGCTAAATTGGTGATTTTGACCCTGTCGTAAGTTGGACCTGGGACTTACAGTGAACACTTGGTGCTGTTGGCTCCATATACTGCCTTGCTTCATGTTCTGTTAAGGACGCCCCCACCCAATCTGCTCTCAGGAATGTAACAGCAGTAGTTTGAGATATGGAGGTGAGATGATGCCTTAAAACAGAAAAGGCATTTTCTTCTTTCTACTCTGATTGCCATGCTAAAACAAAACATACACTTGACCTCATAACTTTGCTGCTTAAAACCCTCTAAAAACTACCTAGTGTCAAGAGACCAAGTCAAATGCCTTCGCATGGCTGCAGGGGTCCATCCATCGTGTAGGTTTTCCTGCTACTTCCTTCCCTCTGTTTCCTCTTGACAACTGGGATAGCAGACTGCTCCGTGCTGTCTTGCCCTGTGAGAAAGCTATCCTATTCCCACACCACTAAGATCAGGTCTGACCACCAGGCAGATGACATCCGTGCCACTTCTTAGCAGGACCTTTCTTTAAGAGCCACAAGAAACGTTGCCATTACTTTTTCTCTTACCCAACCATGTTCCACTCTCATTGTTCAGCCAGTATCTCAGAATGAAGGTGCTATTAAGTTGTAGACCAAGTTCAGGGCCATAAATAATCAAACCCAACCCAATGCCACCAGGCTGATTTCAACTCACAGTGACTCTGTAAGACAGAGAACTGCCCTTGTGGGTTTCCAGGACTGTTCATCTTTATAGGGGCAGGCTTGTCTTTCTCCCATGGAGTTCGAACTGCTGACCTTGTGGTTAGCAGCCCAACGGAACTGACATGAAAATAAATCTTTACTATTATAAAACACTAAAATGAAATGGTTTGTTAACTCTTGTTAGCCAGCAAAGATAGCTAAGATACCTAGTTATCAAGAATTATCTACTGTTCCCAAAGCATGTTCTTATTATTTTTCTCACATGTCTGACTTTTTTAAATTCTTTTTCTTTTTGGAATGATATCATTCCCATCCTTTACCTAAAAATGTCCTACATACACTCTTCACTAATTGACATGGTTAAGTATCAAAGCACAGTTGTGATGTGAAAATCAGGGAGGATGATCACATCAGAGCACAAAATTGAGGTTGAGTACATCATTACATAACTGCCAAATTATATCATTACATAACTGGCAAACAATTGACCCTGCCAAAATGAAATATACCTTATTTATCACAGTCACATTACTTTTGTTTCATACCTCATACACTACCAAGTGTACATTGCTAATATTCAAAATAGTTAAATAGTAGACTTTTTACTATGGTCATAAATGCAAAATGTCAAACAACAAGGTCAGTGATAAATGAGGAGCAAGTGTACCTAACTTCCATAGCCCGAGTCTAATTCTACCTTGACTCCTTAGCCATAATTACCTACCCCCTCATGGATTTCCATGAAGGGTCTTGTATACTGTTGTTGTCTGATTTACCGACTGTGGTATAATTGTCTCCATAACTGGACTTTACGTTCCCTGAGATGAGGAAGTCTATACATTAGTCTTAGTAACCCAAAGATCACTATCAACCATAAAGTAGGCTTCAAGAAATGTATTTTTTTTTTTTAGGGAAAGGATAGCAACAGGTATAAATACATAGATTGAGAGTCAAGACCAAGTGTATTGGAGGTTAATTAGAGAGAACAATGATCAAATTAGTTACTCTTTGCAATATTCATGGACCATCATCATTAACTACAATTTAAATAGGACATAGACAAATTGCTTATATCAATAAAAATAGTGAAACAAAAATAATAATGAGGAAGAGTGGAAAGCATTTATATTTACCCAACCTTTTTTGTTCCTTAAGAAATAAGACATTACTTCTTTATATGCTGAAATATTTAATTTTAGTTATAATGAGTAAAGCTATAGATTTTAGAAATAGCTTAACATTATAAGATGCAAAGTGAGGTCAAATAATTTTATAATTTTGGTGACATATTTAAATGTTTTATTATTTAATGCTTTTGTCTTAAAATATACAAGCTACAGATTCAGGAAATTTCTAACTATAGTATCTGCTGGTTTAGGGGTAGAGTTTTCACCTAGGACAGCGGTTCTCAACCTGTGGGTCTTGACCCCTTTGGGGGTCGAACGACCCTTTCACAGGGGTCGCCTAAGACCATCAGAAAACACATATTTCCAATGGTCTTAGGAACTGGGACACCGCTCCTCTATCCGCCTCCAAGTGGGTCTGCCCACATGCAGATACGTCCATATATGAGTATCTGGTATGAAGACTGTTACCCATGCTACACCATGCTTCAAGACAAAATTTCATTTATTTGTAATTAGAAATAAATACTTCACAATATATAATTATGTATTATTTTGTGATTAATCACTATGCTTTAATTATGTTCAATTTGTAACAATGAACATACATTCTGCATATCAGATATTTACTTTATGATTCATAACAATAGCAAAATTAGTTATGAAGTAGCAAAGAAAATAATTTTATAGTTGGGGGGTCACCACAATATGAGGAACTGTATTAAAGGGTCACAGCATTAGGAAGGTTGAGAACCACTGACCTAGGATATCTGGGTTCCTTGCCCCTTAAGAGCAGCCACTACCTATCTGTGAATGGAGACTTGTGTGTTATTATGGTGCTGAACGGGTTTCAGTAGAACTTCCAGACAAAGATGAATTACCTGGGGCATAAAAGGAGGGTGGGGGAAATGGGAAGTCAACACCAGTGGGCACAAGAAAGAAGAAAATGTTCCAAAGTTTATTGTGCTGAGGATTGCACGGCCCTTCTTAATATGATTGAACTATTGAATTGTATGATACGTTAATTGTAGCTCATTGAAATTAATTAAAAATTTTTTTAAAGCAAAGAGAAAAACCTAGCAATCTACTTCCAACAGTCAGTCACTAAAAACACCATGAATTACCAAAAAAATACAATTCTTTTCCCAACATGGTTTAACACTCTTTAAATTCTCCCATACCATGGAGAAGCCTTCTCTAAATCACAGTAGGTCCACATAGGGACAAGCCTTCTTGGTAAACCCAATTTACGTGTTCAGAAAGTTAGGATCTGTCATCATTTGTTGACATACCTGTCATCATGGTTATCTGAGTCAGGAAATGCTTGTGTTTCCCAAGTAACAAAATCTAATGTTGTTTTACTAAATGATTTCCAAATGTTCTATAAGGAGAGTTGCTTATAAAAACCTAGTACACTTGGTAAAGTAATATTACGCCACTCGAGTAGTGGATCCTGCACTCTGCTCAGTGCCACGCATTATTCTTGGCATTAAAAAGCAACAGGGAACAATAAATAATCCTGCTATTCTCAAAAAGATCACATTCTGTTTAAAGTCAGAAAGCAAGCAAGTAGATATTAAATCCATCTGTGAGTGGTAGCATAGTGCTGTGAAGAAGAATAAATAGGTTAAAAACTCCAAGGTTGGGGGTAGGTGCCATTTACACCCAGGGACAAGGGAAGCTCTCCCTACACAGACCTCCCTGTGTCTACATGACACAGAACTAAAGGAAGAGGAATGCCGAGGCATGGACAAGACAGAGCCCTGGGGGGTCAGGCAGTATTGACTTGATTTCTAAGTAGAGACGGTTCTAAGAGTTAATGGCACAATGTGCCAATGTTGTTAGGTGCCACCAAGTAGCATAGAAACCTTACGTTTGAGGAGGATTCCAAAAGTTGGTGGGAAAATGATGCTAAACGATAATGAAATGCGTCCATGAATGCTTTCAAGCCCCATCATACAAAAGAGTACCATGCTGCCCAGTGCTGTGCCTCCTCACAATCATTCCCCATTTATCAGGATAATGTTTATTGGTTCAATTGTGAGAGCCCTTTTGTTTGCTTTTTGTTTTATGTTAAGGTGTAATCCATGTTGAACACTGCGGTCTTTGATCTTCATCAGTACATGTTTATAGTCATCTTTGCTTTTAGCAACCCAAACTGTGTCATATCATAGTTGTTGAGTCTTACTTTAATCCAATAAAATGTTCTTCATACTAGCCCAGTTTCTTAGATTATTTCCTCAGCAAATAGATTGAATAAGTGTGAAGTGTGTAACTCTGACACACACACTTTTAAAAAAAACCCCACAGTATCCCTTGTTGTGTCCAATCAACTGCCCCTTGGTCCATGTACAGGTTTATATGAGCACAATTAAGTGTGTGAAATCCCATTCTTTGCAATGTTATTTATAATTCAGTATGATCCACAGGTGGAATGACTTTTCACAGCCAATAAAACACAGATAAACATCATTCTGGCAATCCAAAACAAACCAACCAAATTCACTGCCAGCAAGTCGATGTGGACTCAGAGCGAGCCTATAGGACGGGGTAGAAGTGCCCATGAGTCTTGAAGACTGTACCTCATTACTAGAGGAGAAAGCCCAGTCTTTCTCCTGCTCTGGGGTGGTTTCAAACTGTCAAACTTGTAGTTAGAAGCCCAACATGCAGCTCCTATACCACCTAGTAATATAGGTGTGCAAAATAGCATCATCAAACACTTCTAATCCAATAGGTAGGAGCCCTGGTGGCCTCGTGGGTTGCATACTGGGTTGCTAACCAGAGTCAGCAATTCAAAGCCACCAGTGGCTCCACAGGAGAAAGAGGCGACTTTCTACTCCTGTAATGAAACCCACAGGGGAAGTTCTACCCTGTCCAAGAGGTGAGTAGGATTGGAACTGACGTGGTCGCAGTGAGGGTTGAATCAACTCTACAAAAGGCAAAGTTCTGGGTAGACATGTGTTTGATACATTGGGATATATTTGATGGGTGGCTCTGCAAAGCCATCTCGGCATTGTTCCCTGGTCCTGCTTGCTGCAGACACCTCTGTCCTCTGCAGCAAGCCTCCTTTCTCGCCAGAGACCCACACTCGTGCTTTCTTTGTAACCCGCTGCATGGCATGCCCGGCTTGCCCCCCCCCCCACCGCCTCCCCCATGTCAGACGTGGCCATGGACACCAGCTCCAAGATCCCCGCCAAGGACGTAAAGGAGAAGAAAGTTGTGGAGGAGGCGGAGAATGGAGGCGGAGCAGGAGAATTAGCTCCTGCTAATGTGGAAAATGGGAAACTCAAGTCTAACAATCAGGTAGACGAAAAAGAGAAAGAAAGTGGGGGGAGGAGAGAAGGAAGGTGATGTCGAGGAAGACGGTGGAGATGAAGCTGAGGAAGCTGAGGCAGCACCAGGCAACGGGGCAGCTAAAGAGGAAGAGGATGACGATGTTGGCACTAAGACGCAGAAGACCGAAGAGGAGGACTAAGCAGCAACAGAGGAAAAGCTAAACCTCCTGAAAAATAAATTAAAAATTGTAAAGGCCACCAGGACCTGTTCACCCTCCACTTCCCAACTCTGAACCCAAAGGAGGTCACGTTCCAGTACATAGTCCTGCCCGCCCATCTTGGGCGGCCCCACCGCAGGTGACATGAACCACAGTGTAAAATTGTATGTAACAAGGGAGGCAAAGAGATCCAAGCCTCACACGGCCTTGCTTTTTTTTTTTTTCTTAAAAGCACCTTTTAAAGGAAAATTTGTTT